TAAGTAATACTTAGCGCCCTATAAGGCATAAATTACAATTTACATCTATTTAAACTAGTTTTTTACAAAACAACATCAACAACATAAAAAATAAATGCATGTTATTTTAAGGAAAAAGTCCAGCTAATTCCACTAAAAACATAAAAAAACATGCACGTCGTATGTAAAATACTAAACCTTACCATACTTCATAATAAATAAAAACAATTCCTAATTAAAAACAAATGCTTATTGTGGATTTGATAAGTTTTAGCGACAGTATAATTAACTTTACTTTTTAACGGGTCCCTGATATTTTGAAAAAAAATAATTCAAGTGTTATGTTGGATCTTCAAAGTAGTGAAATAGTATAAAAATTTTAATTAAATAATCATTTAATAATACAACTATTCTTTTAGATTTAATTAAATAAAAACTATTGTTTTTTAACCAAAAATAAAAGTGCATTTTACAAGTTTTAAATAAAAAAACAATTTATATATACTGTTTTAAACGAATATTATTGTTGAAATTTATATATTATTTTTGCTATATTATTTTGAGTACCAGGTTGACCTACTTTAGAAGAATTTTTTTTTTAATATAAGGACACCGTTAAAATGTAAAGTTAATTATGCTGTTACCTAACATTGGAATAATGCTTTGAAATTTTTTTTTTTTTTTAGTTAATTAACAATATTTAAACATCTAGCCACTTAACAATTAAAAAAAAACTTTTTGATCAGGTCATAAATTATATAACTTAACATATGCTAGCCCGTACTGTCTGAACTTTCTTCGAAATGTTGCTGCAACACATCTTTATTTTGAGCATTAGCTGTAAGTTTTGTCTAAATAAATACAATAACATTTTTTTATTATAAAGACTAAATGACTAACACTATAATATGCATTACTAGTAAAAATTTACATAGATGTATCTAAGAATAAACTTTACAGGTAGCCAAAAAAACAATTTTTTTCATGTACCTCTAAGTTAACTCCACCTGGTTTCGCATGCTTGACAGTTTGTTTACAAGCGTCTAATTAAAGTTTAAAATCATAAATTTACAACAGTTAATAAAAGTATTAAAAATGTTAGCTGCGTTACCAATTGCCATTAAAAGGTATATGGTACATGATTGTTTTTAATGATAAATAAGCATTTCATATATCACATTTAAAAAAAAAGTATAAATTAAACTTTTTAACATTATGGTTGAATCTTGAAAGTAAGTTATATAAGTACAAAGTACAATTTTTATTAAGGGGTTGTCTATAAAGTAGCTACGCACTTTTTACAGAAAGAGAAATCTCAATTTAAAAAATTTACTGAAATAAATTTCATTTTTGTAGCAAAATTATTTGTTGTGGTTTCTTATTCTGTAAAAAAGTGCTTACGTACTTTATGGGATTGATTTCAACTCAACATTTTGTTGTCTAGTAGGTTTGGGCCACAAAATTTGTATGTAAACTAATAAGAACCAAATTATTTTAAGTTTCTTGTAAAAAACAGTAATACTTTTGTTCTTGTAGTTTTTGTAATTTTTACAAAAAGTATCGTAAGTATTGTAAGTTCTATCAACCATTTTCAATATGCATGCTGTCAGTTGATGAAATATGTGCCGGATTCACCTAACTTACGGATGTAGATGGTGGGTCAGTAACATCTGCAGCAGCTGACACAAAAACAGCTTCACTTTCCGCATGTTGCTGCCATTCACTTTCATCTATATACCTGACGATTCATTGTAACTATTGTATGATAATATAATATAAATGAATGCTATATAACTAGTGATTTCTTTTAAAACAACTGAATATTTTAACATAAAAATGTATAAAAAAAACAACTGTAACTTCTTTAAGTAAAGAAAAAGTGTACCTATATATAAACATGACTATTATTTGTACTTGACAGAGCCACCTTATCAAATCTGACAGTCAATTAGTTGACAAGTATGAATAGTAGTCAGGTTTATAACATAATATGCTTATAAATTTTATATAATATGTATATAAAATTTATTTGTAACATGCCATATAAAAACCTTTTAAAAACTTTCAAATAATTACTTGGCAGAGTAAACATTTATCAAATGACTGTTTTCCTTTCGGCTGTTGAAACTTAAAAATGGCCAAACTTGATTAGATGCTGCTGTAATAATGCGTTGAATTGCTTCTTTACAATTACAGCCACCAAGACTGATAAAATAATTAATTTAAAAAAGCAACTGTTGAAACTATATTTATAAATTAATAATATGTTTATAAATTTTATATAATATGTATATAAATTATGTAAATATTAAACTATACATATTTTCTTTGGAAATTTGAAACATTTTACTGCAAACGATTAACTTAAAATAAGTAATACAGTCTATACCCATTAACCACAGATTGTTTTTAAAACGTTTAAAAAACGTTAATATTCGTTTTTTTAAGTTTTTTAAACGTTTTAAAACCGTCCTGTGCTTACTAGTTAATTGAGGCTATGACACTGCTCAAAATTTTTTTCCTTTAGTCCCTCATTAAGATTTAAATTAAGTATAAAAAACAGTCATCAACCACAACTGGAGAGCGATCCGATTCGTCAAACTACTGTCCCATTAGTCTTCTTCCTATCATAAGCAAGGTTTTTGAATCTTTAATTAACTAACACTTAATCTCTCATCTCGAATCTCATAACCTACTTTCTGATCATCAATATGGATTTCGATCTTCTCGTTCTACGGCTGATTTGCTATCAGTAATAACCGATAGGTTTTATCGCGCATTAGATAAAAGTAGAGAGGTTAAGGCCATCGCTCTTGACATTTCTAAAGCGTTTGATAAAGTTTGACATACTGGTTTTCTCCATAAGTTTTCTTCTTACGGTGTATCTGGAAACATCTTTAAGGTTATTGAATCCTTCCTTTCCAATCGCATATTAAAGTTGTCCTTGATGGACAGCACTCTTCTTCTTATGCTGTAACCTCAGGGGCTCCCCAAGGTTCAATCCTTAGCCCTATACTCTCTTTAATTTACATTAACTATCTTCCAGATATTCTCACATCTAAGGTGGCATTGTTTGCTGATGATACTACCATTTATTCTTGTCACGATAAGAAGCCAACTCCATCTGATTTCTTGCAGGGAGCATCTGAGCTTGAAAAGGATCTTACTTCTGCTACAGCATGGGGCTCACAGTGGCTGGTGAACTTTAATTCAGATTCTCAAAGCTCAATTTTTTTCAGCCAACCATTATCGCAATAATTTACACCCTTCTATATTTATGAACGGTAATGTACTCGATGAGTCATCTTCCCTTCATCTTCTAGGATTAACTCTCACTTCTGATCTTTCTTGGAAACCTTATATCAAATCCGTTGCAAAATTAGCATCTGCTAAAGTTGTATCTCGTTATTGAGCTCGACACTTTCTTACTCTATCTCTATAAATCTCAAATCCGACCTTGTATGGAATACTGTTGCCATATCTTGGGCGGATACTCTAATGATGCCCTTTCTCTTTTAGACGAAGTGCAAAATCGAATTGTAAACATAGTTGGACCTGCTCTTACAGCCAACCTTTAACCTCTGTCACATCGTCATAATGTTGCTTCTCTTTCCCTTTTCTACAAATACTATAATGGGCACAGCTCTAAAGAGCTAGCGTCTCTTGTGCCATCTAATGAGATGAAATAATGAGATAAATTAGAAATTAAAATGAATAATTAAATTTTAAGGTAAAATAAAATGCATTTAATGAAGTCAAGTTGGTTATATAAGCAATTTTATAATGTTATCAAAATCAAGGGTTCAAATGTAAAACTATTAGTTCATGGAAAGATGAAAATATGGATAATATAGCGATGTAAAGTTTCTAATGAATCTAATAATGTTTCACACTCCATATATCAGAAGAGTGTCTTATGCCATTACCTAGAGTGTTTTATAACTTCTATCAATATATTTGGAACATTTTTATACTAAAACGTATTGTGTTAAATTATATTTTGTTAATTAAAAGTTATTAAAAGTTAACCTAAAAAATGACAATTTAAATGATATAAATATGATAAAACATTGGAAATAGAAAGTAATTGATTACATGGAGGTAAAGAAAATTTTGGAATATCGTTGCTGCAAAACAAGACTGTTTTAATCCAATTTTTGCGCTTCTGAGAAAATGGCATTGAAAGTTTTAAATTTAATCATTGCATTTAATTTTTTGATTAAATCAACTTGTTTTTAGTTATTTATTAAGTAAACCAAAAAAGTTTTTTTGCCAAAAAATGGACTTATGATAGTTTTGTTTTGCCGCGACAATGTCTTTTAATTATTTTTTTTAGGACATAAGATATTTGAATTTTACTCATAGTTGCAAAAGTTGAATCAATTTTGATTCCATACTTTGTAAGATGACTTTTGCGCACCTAAGGAGTATTTTATACCAAAAAAGTCAATTTTGCAAAAAATGGACTTCAGATTTTGTTTTGCTTTGCAGCGAAGTTATATCATTTTTGTATGTATAAATATAGCACTTAATTTAAATCAGAGCCTCGTCTAGAAATTTTAAGCTTCCAAAACTGCAATAAACTATTTTATGGACCTATCGCAAGTAAAAACATTTTAAAAGCATATTTTTACTTGGGATAAATTACATATTTTCAATACGCATAAATGACGGCTTTTTAACACGTAATTTCATATTTTGCATTTTATAATATAAAAATACGCTATCCTTACGATTTTAATATGCAAACTTATAACGTTTTAAAAACGTAGGTTCGCCTGCAATTTACAGTTATACAAAATTGGTCTAGAAAAGACGTCTTTTAAACATTCAAAAGACGTTCTGAATGTCTTTTGAACGTTTAAAAGACATTTCTCATGCAATAAACGTATTTTAGCTATCACAGAAATTGTAGGGTTTTGGTGAAAAAAAATTAATGTTCAGTAAACATTGCAGAAACGGCAACCCGTCTGCTTTATTAATTAAAACAATTAAAACACAAATTAAAAGAATACACAATATTTAAAGTATACATAATGAAAAGTATACCCAAGATTAAAACATATTTCAAATTACAGTTATAGAAAATATCATAAAAACTGTTATCGTGGTTTAGTATTTCACGATCACTGACGTCTTTTCTATCCGGCGCTCCATTCAAGATATCTCCAATGCCATTTTCTAGTTTATTCTCGGCATATTGGGTATGGTCTCTGCGAAAAACAAAAACATATATGTAAAAGAGATTTATAGAATATACAATAAAAAATATATATACAAATTTAATCAAGTTAGCTAATGGAATAAACTTTTTGTTTATTCCATAAACAAACGTTTATTAAACGTATAGAAGCATTTAGGTTCAAACGTATATAAATCATACAAAGTTAACTAACATTTAATGTTTTGAATTGGTCGTAATTTATATTTATTTATTTAATTTCATTATTTCATTTATCTATATATATACATATATATATACATATATATATATATATATATATATATATATATATATATATATATATATATATATATATATATATATATATATATATATATATATATATATATATATAAGATACAGTCATGAATATATATATATATATATATATATATATATATATATATATATATATATATATATATATATTATATATATATACACATATATAAAATAGAGTTATGAATATATATATATATATATATATATATATATATATATATATATATATATATATATATATATATATATATATTTAAAAAAAATTTCTATTTAAAAAAAAAGTGGGAAGGCCATGGCTTCCTTGACGGCCATGTATGCATAGCGTGAATACACCAACATTTCTTAAGGTATAAACTACTGCCAGAATGCAAAAAAAATTCTGAAAAAATGGTTAAGAAGGATTTCTAGGGATACCTACATTGAAAATAAAAATATTTATTTATCTGAAAACAGAACAAATGTGAAAAAATCAAATATTTTTTATATTGACAAAAATAAATTTAGATATGTTAACCAAGATATCTGACCAATACAAAGTTTGGTCAGATATCTTGGTTAACTTATCTAAACAAATATCATTAATATAATAAGTGTGACAATTATCAATAATGTAATTTCCTTACAAGTAAATAGTTTAAACAATTGTTTCCTGGTAAGGAAAAAACTATTCAAGAATTATTTCCTTGTAATTTAATATTACCTCAATTAAATCAAGTTATTATTTCCTTTATTTGAATAGTTTTTAATTAATAATGTGTTACTATTTTAAGTAGATTGCTATCAAATATAAATTAAGGTCAAATTTTGTAAAAGGCAGAGTATGATTTAGTGAAGTCAAATTTACTGAATTGCCACAATGCCAAGTCAAGCAAAGAATTATGATAAAAATCGAAAATATGTGTGCTTGATCTGTCTGAAAAAAATGTTTAAGACAGCTTACTACTTTTCAAGCAGATTGAATATGCCAACTGTACAAGACCAAGATCAATATCAGTAATACTTGGGTACCAAAAAGAATCTGCGAATCGTGTAGAATTACTTTGCTCAGGAAACGAGAGGGGAAAAAAGTTGCACTCACTCCTTTGTTTGATTTAAAGACAATACAAGTGAGACCTGAAACAAGAGGCATGATGTGTTGTTGCCTAATATGCTGAATTGGTTGTTTAAAGCTGCAAGAAAAACATCCTCTCATAGAGCAAACTACTATTGAGAAAAAACCAAAGGTGCGTTGCAGCAAATGCCTTAGCCCTTTAGGAAAAGGTTTGCCCCACCAATGTTCTCAAATAATATTAAGGGAAAACATTCAATCTTTAACAGCAAAAGATGCCAAATCATCCGAACGAATCGCATCTCGAGTTATTTCCAATAAAGAATTATCTTCAGAAGTAACTATTCTACTAGCTAATGCATCCGGCGGTCCTCCACTTATAGCTACCCTGGTAAATATTTATACTTAAATAATTTTAACATATATATTGAAATAAAGTCTTGACTATTAAGAAATAACACTAAGTAGATTTCAAGAAGTATATTTTTGACAAGTTTCTAATCTCTTTAAAAACAAATAATTTGAAAGTTTTACACAAACTTACAAAACAAAGTTCATTGTAACTATAAAATATGTATGTTTTGGTTTTAGGTCAAAGTAGTGCGCAGACACCATCAAGTGCTCCGAAATTGACCATTGTAGCCCTTGTAAATATGCAATTAAATACGGGCCTGTCAAACACTGTAGCCCTTGTAAATGTGCAATTAAATACGGGCCTGTCAAACAACAAATTAAAGAAACTTGTTAAAACTATAAACAAAACATCAAGCAGCAAGATGATAGAGTGAAATTTCTACATGAATTTTCTAAGACTAGGTCAACAATTGGGCAATTTCTTCACATGCAGCAACTTAAAAATCACAGACGAAAAAAAAGATTCTTGTACAGTTCATGTTGTTGCTCACTGTAATGATTTATCAAGTCTTGTGAATCATGTTATTCAGTCCCGCAAAATTTCTGGTAGCTATTTTATTAAGCTCGGAATTGATGATGGCAAAGGTTTTCTCTAGTTTTGCCTAAGCATTGTTGATACTGCGTTAAGAGATGAAACCAGCTCACCGCATCAACAACAACCTCTCACTCAAAGGACTGGTAAAGACATTGGAGTCAAGAGACAAATTATTGTTGGGGTTTCAGAAGATTTGCCAGAAACACACTCCAATATTGAACTAATCTGGTCACTGATTAGTGCAAATGGACTTAACCTAATTTGGCCTGTGATATCAAAGTTGCAAATATAATTTGTGGTCTTCAAACTCATTCAAGTACGCACCTTCGCACTTGGTGTGGCATCAAATTCAATTGTCTTGCCAAATCTGGAAACTTGCGAACACTGGGCTCAATTAATTCAAGCTTTGAGCCTTTTCAGCAATCTGGATGGGGTTGTTGCTAATGCAAAGCTGTTTGGCAATGTCATTTGAAAGCCAATCATCTGCGGGCCTGTCAATGTTCTGATTTCGGAAATCATTCCACCGATGGAATTGCATCTCCTCTTAGGAGTTGTCAACCATCTTTTCAAAATCCTTAAAACTGCTTTAATAGAAGCTGTTAATTGGCCAGCCGCCCTCCACATTTAACTGAACTTGTATCACGGGGGCCAGTTTGAGGGAAATGAATGCAGGAAGCTTCTTAAAAATGTGGATATGCTGCAGCAACTTGCTGAGACAAACAAGGTTCCCAATATTGTGTGCATAATTGAAGCATTCAAAAGCTTCAATTTAGTTGTCAAGGCTTGCTTTGGATACTTCCTTCAGCCCGATTTCACTGAAAAAATTGAAAATTTCAAAAAGTGTTACCTAATGATAACTGGTGCAAGCATAACACCCAAAATTCATGCCGTCTTCTACCACACCAAGGATTTCATCAGTCACAAAGGATCCCCCTTAGGGCTCTATAGTGAACAAACTGTCGAAACTTCTCATCAAGATTTTTATCAACATTGGTTGAGGTATAAGCAAAATAATAATCATCCAGAGTTCAAAGAAAGATTGTTACTCTGCATAATTGATTTAAACAGTAAGCATCTTTAAAGAACATCATTTGAGTTATAAGAAATTAGGCTATTCATATTTTACGGCGTATAATGAATATTTTCACCATCTTTAAAAGTAGTATTATAGAGTATTTGTATTAAAAGAGTACATTGAGCTATTTATTAATATTCTTTTGGTGGAGAAAATTAAAAAAACATTTCTTAAAATGTAATTAGATATTTGATGGTAATACAATGTAAAAAATAGAGTTTAAATAGTTCATTTTAAAAGTAAATGTATTTAAAGGGACTAAGTTCCAAGACATGCTGTGTTCATATTAAAGAGAATGTTTAAAAAAAAAACAAATCTTGTTGTTTTAGTTGAAGCTTGTCTTCTCCATTTTCTGTGGTATTTGGAGTCTGTAAAATAAACACAATTTTCCAGGCGCATTATACAGACTTGATAATTTATTCAAGTGCGTTTAATTCATAGAAATTTTAGTACATGACATCATTAAAAACATTCTAGAAATTCTTTAAAAATTTTACTAATAAATTTTACTTAGATAACTAACTATAGTTAGTTATTTTATTTTCTAAAATCTTCACATTGAAAAAAACTTTATGTTTTTTTGTAGCTATCAGAGCTGTGGTTACATGGGCCACGCCGATGGTGGACTCAGAGACCCCTATGGCGCCAAATCGAGTTATACAATATCTCCAATGATTCACGAGTGTGTTTTTTACATTTTGATGCAAGTTGTTTCAACAAATCTAACGAACAATTAATTATGCAGAACGAACAATTAATTAATGCGGTAGTGGTGTAGTGGTAAAACAATCGCTTCATAAGCGAGAGGTTCCGAGTTCGATTCCCACCACGTCCCTGGTAGTACTGGGCTCAACTTGTTTCTCCGCGCAGCGGCCTTGTTTGTCAAGGTTCGTGTTTCGGAGTTATAGAGTTAAGAGAGGGTTATAACCACAATTAAGTAGCCTTCTCGGCCTTGAGGAGGTGAATAACAAAATTCAAAAAAAAAAAAAAAAAAAAAAATTATTAAACCAAGCACTAGGAAAAGATATAAAAAATAAGAATATACTAATAAAATATATAATTTGTAATTAACTTTGAAAATTTTGACAATTTAAAAAATTTATATTATAAAACATTTATTTTTGTAAGCAAATGATAATAGTTTAAAAGATTTACGGCTTTGCAGATGTGGCTCGGAGAATGAGTCATATTATTAAAGTAATGGTTTATTTAATAATATATTCTTAAAAAAATTTATGCTAGATATCTCAAAACGCAACAAATCGTAAATAATACAATTCCTAAAACATTTCAACAGAATACTTAGTATTTTTTGAACCAATAGAATTAGTTTGTTCGTAAATTTGGCAGGTTTTTAGTGTTCGAGAATATTCTTTTTATTCTTGTGCAAGATGTTTTAAGAACATTCAAGTTAATTATGTTTTCATGTATGTTCGTAAAATAAAAATTAATATATAATAATTTTTTAATTTTTAAGCCCCTGCCATAATATATATCGGATGTTATAATAATGGAAATATAAATAATGAAATAAGATCACCTCAATACCAAAAAATAAATTTTTGAAAATCAGAGAAAAAATGAGTTAATAATTTTTTTAATATTTACAAAGTAAATTGATAAAAGTGCATTATT